AAGATGAGAGGGGCTGGGGAGATGAGAGGTGCCAGGGAGATGAGGAGGGGGTTGTGGAGATGAGGTTGTCACTAGCAGGATGTGCCCCTGGGAAAAGAAAGAAGTTGGGAAAAGATGGAAAAGAAAGGCAGGAGCAGGGCAGGGAGAAGGCTGGGGAAGTAGGAAGATCATGAACCTAAAGTCACAGGGTACCTGGCACCCAGTGCAAGATTGTGGCCTTTCCTCTGAAGGATGTGAGGACACCAGAGGGCTGTGAGCAGAGGGGCTGACACAGTTAAGAAGTCCCCCTGGCGTCAGTGTGGCGTAGCCCCCAAGAAGCCCAGGCAGAGATAGGATGCAGGTGTGCATGTGACTCACCGTCAGCTTCCACATCCCGGGCCGAGGGGTGGGTGAGCCCTGCTGGTGAAGGGGGCGTGTGCTGACCTGAGTGTCCTGACCCCCTGGACAGGAGCAGGAGAGGCCTGTCGGGGTGCTGATGTCGTCTGTCTATGGGAGGCACATCAACCAGCCAGTGGAGCCTCTGAACAGGGACCACGTCCGTGTCAACCATGTAAAGGCCGACTTCTACAGGAAGAATGACATCCCCAGCTTCAGGGACCCAGGCTTTGGGCACATTTCTCCAGCCTGACGCCCTCCCTGTGGCCCGAAGCAGTCGCTGGCAAGTGAGGTTCACAGAGTGGCAATACAGTGGCCTTATTTCCCTTTCATGGACTCTGTGAGCCTGCGGGTGCCTTTTCTTGTGCATTGACAGTGGGAAGTAGCCCCCTTTCCTCGGGTTGCCTTGACGAAGCACCTGGCCAAACACCTATAATACTTAAGGTGGACATCTGGTGTGACGGTTTCACGTGAAATTATTTCAGATGAAATGATGCTGGAGACTGATCCACTGGGAGCACCTGAATAAAATGAAAACTGTTCTCACTTGATAGGCTTGTTCGTGTTCACAAGTCTTCCTGGGGGTGGGGGGCGCTCACGGGGGCAGTGTGACGTTACATAACAATTACGGAAACCCTACTGCCTGATGCCTCTGTTTCCCTTTCTCCAAGAGGAGGTGTACTGAAATTGCCCTTTGGCACAGTCAACCTCTAGATACCACAACACTTCTCCCCCCCCGAGGTCTGAGCCACTCCGAACAGAATTTTGCACAACGGAGAAAAGTCCTAGTAGGGACAGGTGGCCTCCGTGGCCAGCAATGCCCATGTCACGCCTCACGGGAGGAGCTGTCACAGGTCACAAGGAGAGTCTGGACTTTAGTGTTCAACAGACTTGGGTACAATTCTGGCTTCGCATTTTCTAGGGGAAATATTTTCACCTGTGTGAGCCCACATCAGCTCAGCATCCAAGAGGGAGTCCCAGAGCCTGAAGAGCTGGCGTGGGAGTCAGGGAGCCACTGCAGCGTGGTCAGAAACAAGCACCACGGGGGCTACGATTGTTACTTTGAACAGCCTTCTTTTTAGAAGCAGCTGCTTTTAACCTAGTTAGGAATGTTTGCTTTGCAGATAATTTGGAACTTATTCAAGTATTAAGATATTGGCTGTATTTTTAATGAATGGATCCCTTGGAGGAAATCATCCCTCATCTATTGTGATTAAGTTTCCCACAGCTTAGCAGTTAATGGGCAGGTGATCTAATGTATTCCAATGTTGATTCCTCAATTACTGGTTTTATTTTGATTCTCTAAGGACACATGACACTAAGTTGCTGGTAATTTCAAGGCTGAGTGACTCCTAAATATTTCTTTATTCTTTTGAAAATGGTTTCCTCCCCCCCACTGTAGATGCCTTTTCATTTCTTCCAAACAAATAGCAGTAGCTTATTTGGAATGCCTTTGGGTACATTAAACCATATTTATAATAACATAATAGAAAATATATAAAATTAGAGTTGTGGAAAATTAAAAAAATTACTTTCTTCAGTTTTGATTACCAAGAAAGACAGGCATCTCAAGGAAATGCCTCCATCTGAAAGTCACTGCCATAAACTAATGGCATGCTAAATAATTTCCAGGTACTTTAAGTCAGATCCCACTCCCTTAACTTTCTTCTCGTTTTAAAAAGCAGGCCTTGAATGAGGCCAGGTTTCTCACTTTTGTTAGACATAAATGCCTGTCCCTTGGCGTGTCGACTTTTACAATTTAAAGCCAATCCACGAATGCCTGCTAGTCATCTTATCAAAGAGAAACATCTATTAAAAGAATTTGTTTTATTGATCATATTTCCACCCTTAGTGTGATTTGAAAGCAGAGTGGTTGCTGCTGTCTTTAGTAAAAGGTAACGGGTGATTCGCAACAACGCAGACGTTTTAAACAGATGGATTAAAAGCACTGCAGTTTTAAGGGCACTGGACTGAGGCGTTTTTAGGAGAGGGCTTCCTACTGGATGGGAGGTTGAGGAGGGCCTTGAGGAGAGTCTTACCTCCTACCAATGGTGTAAGGCCACTGGGCTGAAGAGCGTGAACTGCATTTCATCCTGTTTGCATGATTTGCTTGCTGGAAGGTTAGTTGCCAGAGATGAAGGTGCTTTGACCAGGAGCCACACTTTCAGATATCAGGGAACTGATAGGTTTCCATTCTAGTCTGGTCTTAGTCACTGATCTCCTGGGAAACTGAACTCCTGGACCTATTTGTAAAATGCAGGGGGTATCAGGCTGGATTGGGGATCAGAATCACCTGGAGAACTTGGTATCCAAAACATGGGCAGTGTGAGGGGCCCCACTGCCAAAGTTTCCAACCTGGTAGGTCTGGGTTGGGGCCTGAGAATCTGCATTTCTCACAGGTTCCCAGGCAATGCTGATGCTGCTGGTTGGGGACCACACTTTGAGAGACCCATGTATGCACATACCTTTGCAAGGAAAACTCTGATAATGACTCTGATTGTTTCAAAGTCTATTGTGTGTTAAGGCTGGTGATACAGCTTTGGATAAAAGCAATTCTCCTGTGAGTTCTTTTCACCAAACTTAGCACATGGGGGGAGCACTTTTAAGAGCACTTTGTCAATCACCCAGCTGTGGGTGCTCACCAAGACAGGTGACATAAAGTGCCCTGGGATAGGTGCTATAGGCTTTACGGAAGGAAGAACCCACAAGGTGCAGCTGCCAGTCATGTCACAGGTGCTTTACATGGCCAGATGGAAGTCACTGAAACCCTAGGGCATCCTAGTCCAGGTTTTGATTAGAGTGACTGAGATATGCCCTATACCCTTTTTCTTCTTTCAGTCACCTTTTTGGAGAATTAGGTATATCAAGGCCAAGGCCAAGTTGCAATTACAGAATAAAAACATTCCTGATTGAGGCAGACAATTGAATAAGTCATGCTGCGGTTCTTCTCCCTTCAGTGAGTGAAGGCAGTTATTAGTTTCCATGGGTGCTCTTACCGGAGTGTGAGCCCAGGTCCTGTAGGGCCACCATGTCTCTGCTGAGAACGTGCTGGCAGGAGTGAGCCCCATACCTGCCAGGAGGGCTCAGTCATTAGCTCATTTAACCTGACCTGATCCCATGACCTACCCACAAGGAAAATACTACTCAGAGAGACAGAGAGATGTGTTCAAGTCACACAGCTAGTAACACATCCGAGCCAGACATCAAACCCAGGGCTCAGGCTTCAGGTCCCAGCTCCCAGGAACGGGCTGCTTCCCAGTAGATCGATGGGTCCTCTATTTGCCCAACCAGGCTGGCACGTGCAGGTTTGCTTTTAAACATTAGGCTACACATGATCATGCTATTTTTCACCCTTTGGCAGAATGTGACTTAATTATGTGAAGAAAACCCCCAAAACTTTACAGTTGGATTTACTGCAACCAGATTTGCCAGGTCTTCTATTTTCAAGGCTCTGCCTTCTTACACTACCTCGGATATCAAAGGCGGTTTGTGGGGCCTGACAGTTTCTCGTGGTTTGTCAAGCCGCTGTGATTGTTAACTTACACAGTCAGTTCCAAATTACTCATATGCATCCTGGTCTGATAGGTTACTAAAAGGCTACAGTAGACAGACCCGAGCATGTGGACAGAGGGGTGTGTTGTTAGCAGAGAATCTTCTTACTATTAAGATATCTTCCCTGAAAATGCTCTGTAGAGATGCCAAAATGAACAGCAGACCTCACGACACATGGAACATGCTTTCCTCTCTTCCCAGGGAGCCGCCTACTCAGGTATCTGCATTACAGACTGTTCTGATATGAATGACTTGAGCGTATGAGAAAAAATGGAAAACAAACCTCTATTCTGGAGCAAACCAGGGGAAGAAGGAGGGTGTGTGTCTCTGTGTGTGTATGTGTGAGTGTGTGTGTGTTTTGGGGGCAGGTGGGGGGAGATAAGACACTGTAAACCAAAGTACATAAAACTTTTAATGAATTAACCTTACAAAAGACAATGGCATCAAAACATCAGACGGGTTTGGTACAAAACTGGTCCTAGGTTGTGAGAACTAATTCTGATGATGGATGACTATGTGCTGCTGGCACGACACAACAGAGCAAGGTGACAGAGCCACGGATCCCCACTGGGGCCCGTGGACAGCCACTGGCAATGAGACACGTGGGTAAACACAGTCAAATTCCATGTGGGGGTGACAGAATCAACTTAGTCACAAATACTGTGTGTTGTAATATCAGACTAGCGGATGCGTTTGGCGAGCTACCATATTTTCCAGAAAAGAACATGCACCAGAAGATAATATACACCCCCTAGTTTTATTGCCTTAAGAATGTTTGTTTGTTTCACCTCCATCATCCGTGCTAGTCCTTTGAACGCCTTTCTCTTCTACATCACACACTCCTTGTCCGCTTCCTTCGGAGTAAGCACAGTGCGAGTGGCAGAACAATCTGGGCACACCAATCCGTGTGCCACCGAGTCACAGGAACGAGTCTGCAGAGGCTCCAGAGGACAGGACAGAGCACACACACCAAAAACAAGGGACAAAAGTTGCAGTCAGAAAGTGCATTGTACCTTCCTAGAAACACAGTCTTCTTGCCAAAACGAAGACAAGTCTTCAGGAAGCCAAGTTGCTCTGGGAAAGGGACCTTGACATTTCCGTGTTCACAAAGTACGTCTTCAGATCCCCCTTTCCCTTCACGTTGATTATGCCTCGGCACGTGCACGTGTAGCCCAGGGTCTGCAGGATGACGCTCGTCTCCTCCGTCACCTAGAAGCACGACAGGGGAAAGAGTGTTTAGCAGGGATAACACAGCCCTTTTGTAAGGTCTTCTGCTGTCAAGGATAAAGAGCCAAGAAATGTTCGTGTTCTTTGATCCGTTAATCACACTCCTGAGAAATCAGTACGAGAGAGACTAATCCGCGAGGAAAAAAAATTAAGGACAGTGTTTAATTCACCCTCTCAGAAAAGTTAAGCCTGGTACCTGCTACGATTTCCACCCTGTGAAGATTAAGTGTGGACATATAAGAGACATGAAAGCAAGAGCAAGTCAAAATATGCTGAACTGGCGGGATTTTACAAGTTGTTGATGTTTACAAGTTGTCATGAATGTCATTTCAGGAAATAGTTAAACATAGATATTAATAAAAATGCGAGGAGATACACTGAGAAGGTGAACACAACTCCTGCAAATGGCCAGGAGTGTCTGGTTTAATGCATGTCAATAAAATGACCCAAAAGTAAAGACACTAGGAATTTGTACTGGCTTTAGCATGGGCACGACGCTGAGTCAGGTGTTGACTTTCCTTGTTTTACTGATTGACATGGGATGATAAATGGAGTGAGACCCTCCCTTGCAGCCTGTCAGTGTGACAAGACTAGCTGTTTGTCATGTGCAGGTCCTGCTGGGTCAGAAGGCAGTGGCACCTGCTGGGTAGGACAACTTCCCTCTGCAAAGGGAGATACCCTGTCCTGCATTGAGCTATGTGATGTCTCAGCTTGGGCCTGCCTTCTGCTCCCTTGGGGGCCCATGTCTGGGGACGGAGACACAGGCCTGCCT